TGCCTGCATGCATGTAAGTGCACTTGTGTTGTACAATGCCCAGGGATCCTCTGGAACTGGAGTTATGAATGATTGTTAGCTGCCATGTGGGTGCTGAGATTCGAACCAGGTCCGCTGCAAGAAAAGTCAGTGCTCTTAACCACTGAATGATTTCTCCAGCCCCTTAAAATATCCTTTAAACTTTATTTATCTATTTTAATTTTAACCATATGAGTGTTTTCCTTGCTTGTGTATACATGTACCATATGCATGCAATGCCTGAAAAGGCCAGTAGACGGCATCAGGCGCCCTAGAACTGGAGTTATAGTTGATTATTAGCCACCATGTGGGTGCTGGGCACTGAACCCAGGTCCTCTACAACAGCCAGTGCTCTTAACCACTAAGCTACCTCTGCAGCCTCAGTTGGAAATTATTAAGTTAGGATTCTGTCCTTTCATGGGGGTCTTAGAAACAGAGGGGTTTTGCTTTCGTTTCTGATATTATTTATTTATTTATTTATTTAATGTGTATGAATGTTTTGCATGCATGTATATATCTGTGGTGGTTTGAATTAGAATGTCCCCAATAGGCTTCAAGTATTCAAACATTTTGTCCCCATTTGGTGGCTCTGTTTGGGAAATCTTAGAAGATGTGGCCATGTTGGAGTAAGCATGACACTGGGGGTGGGCTTAGAGAGTTCTTAAGTTTTGCTGGATCTCAAGTCGCTCTCTTGCTTCCTGTGCCTGCTTGAAGATGTGAGCACTCTGCTTTCTACTCCTGCTCCAGCCACCTCCAGCCAACATGCCTCCCTGCCATGATGGGTTGTCATTCCCCTGGAAATGTAAGCTCCAATAAACTCTACCTTCTCTAAATTGCTTTGGTCAGTGTTTTTATCACAGCAATAGAAAACTAATACAGTATATATGTGCACCACATGGGGGTAATGGCCACGGAAGCCAGAAAAGGGCATTGGAATCCCTGAAACTGGAGTTACAGACAATGTGAACCACCATGTGAGTTATGGGAATTCAACCTGGGTCTTCTGCAAGAGCAGGAAGTGCTCTGTAAATACTGAGTCATCTCTCCAGCCCCCCTTGTCTTTTGAGACAGGTTTTCATGTAGACTTTGAACTTGCTACGTAGTCCAGGCTATGGTATTATTCTTTTGGTGGTTGCATGCATGAGGGTAGATCCGAGGTCCTTGAAAATTGCAAAAAAAACATATTTACAATTATAAGCCCTCGTTTTAGTAAATGCTCAGCAGATGAGTTGCGCCCCATCAAGTAAGGATTTGGTTTTAGGTCTTCCTTGTCTTGTTTCTTGCTAGGTCTATTGGTTCTAGGGCTGATCTGGAACTTCCTATGTAAACCAAGCTGACATGAAACTTATAGTGTTTGCCCTTCCTCTGCCTCTTGAGTATTGGGACTAGAAATATGCACCAACATACCTGGCCAAGTCTCACCTTTTTTTTGTACATTCCTTAGTCTTGAGGAATTTGGGATAAAAAACTGATCTGTGTACTCCCTGCAGAGTCACAGCACAGATCTGCGTTAGAGGAATAGGACTATTTAGCTCTTATATGGACATATTCATGTGTTCCCTGGCCAGGTAGTGAACTAATAGCAGAAGACTACATTGTTACTGCGTATAGTCATTACTTTTTTGTTGCTGTGATAAAACACTTGTGACCAAGGGAACTTATAAAAGGAAGAGTTTATTTGATCTCATGGTTCCAGAGGAATTAGAGTCCATCATGGTGGGGAGGCATTGGAGGCAAGATGTGATGGCGTAGAAAGAGGAGCACTCAGGGCTGGAGAGACAGCTCAGCAGTTAAGGGCACTGACTGCTCTTGCAGATGACCCAGGATCAATTCCCAGCACCAACATGGTGGCAACAAGTGTTTGTAACTCCAGTTCCAGGGAATCTGACACCCTCTTCAGACCTCTGCAGGCACCGCACGACATGCACAACACTGCACTTACATACATGCAGTCAATACACTCTCACATAACATACAAATAATAAATTTTAAAAAAAGAAAGAGGAGCACTCACATCTTGAAGCAGACATGGGAAGCAGAGAGCAACTGGAAATCTGGCAAGGTTTAAGAACTCTGTAAGCCTGTCCCCCAGTGACATGTTTCTTCCAGCAAGGCCACACCTTCTAAGACCTCCCAAAACAATGCCAAGTACTCTATGGGGGACATTCTCAGTCAAACCGCCACACTGGGCAAGTAGCACATAAGGCAAAGAAGGGTCTTGAAATAATGATTGAAATATATGTGTTACCTTAAAATGGAGCCAGATGTTAATGACTGAAAGCATAAAATATCATTTTTAAAAACTTTATAGAATTTTTGCAATATCCATACAATGTAATTTGACAGTAATATATATAATAAAATCTATAGAATCTGATTTATGTCCCAAATGTCCTTCGGCGTGGGTCCATGCACTGGAGTCTGGTTAATCTACCAAGAGTCCAATGGAACAATCCCTGTAAGAAACTCTGCCCCTCCCAGCAGTCATCAGTCGCCAAAAGTCCCATGCAAGCTCAAACCAGACAAAATCTCAGCATAGACAAGGGGAAGTGGGTAAAAACCCCAACTCAACCTAACAAAATTTTTTTTTAATTTTTTAATTGAATTTTTGTGTATTTCATACAGAAAATCATCTTTATGCCTCCTTTCCCCTTTGTATGACAATGAATAGTCTTCCCTCCATGGAGGAAGCCAGGTGGGAGGAACAGCAGCAGGTGTGTGCTGCTGCTGCAGGTGATGTGTTCAGCACCAGGGAAACACCCACTGGTAGGAATGCCTGGCACTCAAAAGCTGTGTAACCTAGGACAGAATGGAAGCATTCTGGATGTCTGGATGTCTGAAGCAGTAAAGTTAGATGTCCCTCAGTGCAAGTTCATCCACCCAGGTTTAGTCAGTCTATCTAGAGTCTCCCTCTTTAAGAATATCAGCTCTTCCTCACCCAGCAGTAATCAGCTGCCAATAATTCTTCGACTAAGATTGGGGCCTGCTGTTCATTTCCACTGTTCTGTGCTGGAGTTTTGTCTGCTTAAGTTTGCATGGGTCTTGTGCATGCTGACTCCATTGCTGTAGGTTTGTATGAGAAGCATCACAGGTACCTGTAGGACTATTTCCCTAGGGTCCTGCACCTCCTCCCTGCCTCTTACAGTCTCTCTGCCCCCTCTTCCAAAATGGTCCCTGAGCCCTGGGTGGGTGGATTTTAATACAGAGTCCTGTCCAAGGGCCCACATTCTGCAGGCTCTTATTCCTGCATTTTGGCCATTTATGACCTTTAATGACAATGCAGAATACAAGAGGGAGCCAAAGTCAACAGGTATGCAATTAAATCATGTAGGGGTCCTCTTTCTTTCCAAATGGTTCCATGGGCATAGACCACCAAAGAAGCATATTTGGAATCACTGAAAATAGTCACACTCTAAATGGAGGTCCCTTCTCAGTTAAAAATTCCACCTTCTTTTCTGGGCATGGTGGTACACACCCTTAATCCCAGAACAAAGGAGGCAGAGGCAAGCAGATATCTGTGAGTTCCAGGCCAGCTAGGGCTACAGGGAGACCCCGTCTCAAAAAAAAAAAAGAAAGATTTCACTTTCTATGTAGAGGTACACAATTGAAAGGCTTTTGTTTCTAGTGTCCTTTCCTTTCCTTCTTCCTTCCTTTCTTCCCTCCTCCCTTTCTTTTTTCTTTCTTTCTTTCCTGCTTCCTTTTTCCTCCCTCCCTCCCTCCCTGTCTTCCTCCCTACCTCCATTCCTTCCTTCCTTCGTGTCTCTTTTTTTGAAACAAGATCTCAGGTAGCCCAGGCTGGCCTCGAATTTTTTACATACCAGAGGATAACCTTTACTCCAGAGCCTCATGCTGTTTCCACTTCCCAAGTTCTGGGATTACAAGTATGTACCACATGCTTAGCCTCCAGTCTTTTTCTAGGTTATTTTTTTATAACATGCTTTGCATTGGCCTTAGCCCATAAAACTATTCCTATCTATGAACATTTCAAGATCTGGATTCTCCAGTGGCATGCATGTCTATTAAGTCGGTATGAGGTTAGTTGAACTAAACTTGTTTACTCTTTTTTTTCTCTTTTTTGAGACAGGGTCATATATATCCCAGGCTGGCCTTGAACTCACTACATACTATGCAGCTGAAATTCATGAATTTCTGATCCTTCTGCCTCCATCTCCTCAGTGATGGGAGTATACAAGTGTGCACCACCACCCACACCCACTTTATTCAGTGCTAGGCCTTGTACTCAGGGTTTGTACACACTAGGTAAGATCTCTACAGACTGATCTACATCTCCAGCCCACTCCACTTCCTTCCTTCCTTCCTTCCTTCCTTCCTTCCTTCCTTCCTTCCTTCCTTCCTTCCTTCCTTTCTTCTTTCTTTCTCTCTTTCTCTCTCTTTCCTTCTCTCTCTCGCTCTCTCCTTCCCTCCCTCTTTTCCTTCTTTCTTTTTCTTCTTTGCTCTTTGAATATTAAAATACTTAAAGACAACATTTTAATCCAATTGTTAAATTTCTTCACATTTTCTATCAGGAAGCTTTTTTAAAATAATGATTTTATGGTCTGGAGCAATGGTTCAGCAGCTAAGAGCACTGGCTGGTCTTGTCGAGGACCCATGTTTGATTCCCAGCACCCACACAGCGGCAAACTACCGTGTATAAGTCCAGTTCCAGGGGATCTAACACTCTCCTCTGACCTCCGTGGGCATTGCATGACATGGGTGCACTCACATACATGCAGGCAATGCACTCACAAATATAAAATAAAAGTGATAAATAAAATATTAAAAAAATAATAATTTTATCCAATTCGTCAAGAATTTCATACAATGTATTTTGATCATACTCAACTCCTTTGCCCCCTCCTGGGAAGCGAGAGTCAGTTTTCTTCTTTTATGGGTGGAGAACCACAAAAATGCATCTATATTTTTATATTGGGGGGAATAGAAAAGAAAACAACCTCTATACTGGGTACTATTCAGTGGCAGCTTAAAAGATTGAAAACTTATCGAATTTGTGTGTCACTCTTCTCCTGGGTCATGCTAATGTTCTCTACATCATTCCAATTTTAGTATATATGCTGCCAAAGTGAGAACTCTTTTTCTTTTCTTTCTATCTTTTTGTAAAAAAAATTATTTGTGTGTATGAGTGTTTTGTCTGCATATATGTAGGTATACCACATGTGTGCCTGGTGCCTGCACAAGCCATTGGATCCCCTGGAGCTGAATTTGAGGATGGTTGTTAGCTGCCATGTGGGTGTTGGGAACTGAACGCAGGTTCTCTGGAAGAGGAGCCAGTGCTCTTAAGCTCTGACCAATCTCTCTAGCCCCTTTTTCTTTTCTCTTTTTCAGATATGGGTTTCATTCTGTAGCCCACACTGCCTTGTCCTAGAACTTACTATGTACATGAATCTGGCCTCCAACTCAATATGTGACTGAACTGTCCTCAAACTGGAGCGCCTCCTTCCTCAGCTTCCCAAATTCTGGGATTATAGGTTTGCACCACCACCTCTTGCTTTTGGGGATATAGTGGGATCTTTACCATTCGTAAGATTCAGAGTAGTTGGAGTTAAGAGGGAAGCCTCTTTTAGGGTGATACAAGGATTTTCTAGCTGTATAGCTTGACTCTTGCCTAGTCTTTCAGAGGTAAGCTCATACTCTCTCTACTTTGTATCAATAAAGGGAGCACATAATGGGGAGTGTGTGCAATGATGGGCTGCTCCAAGGCAAATGTCTTGGCATCCTGTAGTAAATTACAAATACCTGCTGTCACTCTCAGGCATATAGGCCATGTTTTAGTAATTATATGTAGCTGCTTTAGAAACAGAAAACCAGGCGTAGTGGCACATGCCTTTAGCCTCAGCACTCAGGGGACAGAGGCAAGCAAATATCTGTGAGACTGATGCTAGCCTGTTCTACATAGTGCGTTCCAGGCCAACTGGTGCTATAGGGAGACCCTGTATCAAAAAGTTATGGAGATGGGGGCTGGAGAGATGGCTCAGTGGTTAAGAATACTAACTGTTCTTGCAGAAGACCTGGGTTCGAATCCCAGCACCCACATGGCAGCTAACAACTGTCCTTAACTCCAGTTCCAGAGGATCCAACAGCCTCTTCTGTCCTCCGCAGGGATTGCCCAACATGGGTGCACTTACCTACATGCAGCCATAACACTCATACACATAAAATAAAAAATAAAATATTTTAAAAAACATGGGATCTAGGGATCAAACTTAGCTCTCTGTACTTTCAAGTCAAGCACTTTACCAACTGAGCCATCTCCTAAGCCCTTACAGTTAAAATAAATAATTTTTTAAAAAGCTATGGAGATGGAGATGGAGAGGCAGAGGGAGAGAGAGAGAGAGAGAGAGAGAGAGAGAGAGAGAGAGAGAGAAATAGACAACACTCTTCTCATATGACTCAAATTTTGGTAAAACCCCATGTGATGGTTAATATTGACAGTCAACTTGACAGGATCCAGAATCACCCTGGAGACAAATCTCTGGGCATGTCTGTGAGGAGTTATTTACATTGGGTTAATTGAGGTGGGGAGGCCCACTCTAAGTGTGGGTGACACCACTCCTTGGGCTAGAAACTTGGAGTCCATAAAAAGGAGAAAGTCAACTGAGCACCAGCATTCATCACCCTCTGCTTCCTGACTGCAGATGCAATGAATCTGACAAATGCACATGGAGATCCTTAGTATCCACCTGGATTGACAGGATATGAAGAAGGATAAGGGGCAGATCTTCCTCAAGATGCATTGATGCAAATGGCTTTCTTTCAGGCAATCTAGAAAAATCTCTTGAACTCCAAGGATTTAGAATTTGAAATTTCAAGAATTATCAAACTGAAAACAAGGATAAATGAGATATTTTCTTTCTTTTAAAAATATTTTAAATTATAATGTATATTTGAGTGCAGGTGCCCACAGACAGCAGAAGAAGGCGTCAGATCCTCTGAAACTGGAGTTATAGGCAGTTGTGAACCACCTGACCTGTGTACGCAGAACTGTACTCAGGGGGCTGGAGAGATGGCTCAGTGGTTAAGAGCACTAGCTACCCTTGCAGAGGACCGAGGCTCAGTTCCCAGCACCCACATGGCAGCTGACAACCATCCGCAAGTCCAGCTCCAGGGGATCCAACACTGTCCCCTGACCCCTGCACGCATTACACTTACATAAAGCTGGCAAAACACTCTTACACATAAACCAGAAATGAAAAAAAATATTTTTTTAAAAAAAGAACTGAACTCAGATCTTCTGCATGAGCAGTGTGTGCTCTTAACTACTGACTCATCCCTCCAGGCCTGAGGTTAGCTTTTCTTGAGAACTGACTTTAATAATGACTGAAGGGAATTAAACAGCAGTGCTCAATGTACATTTATCCATGTCAGAGTCATGCATATACAATCGTCCATTCAATCTTGGTTTCTGGGGGAATTGGTTCTGTGTTCTGCAAGGGCATGGAATCTGTAGGTGCCCATGTGACTTTTGTGAAATGGTGTGTCCTTTGCATACAACCTTTACACCTTCCTGTGTGTACTTCAATAGTCTGTAGATTATTTACAATAACTGGTGCAATGTAAATGACTCATATTACTTAAGTACTGATGGGACAAAAAGCCTGTTTATTGAATACAGATGTGTCTTAAAAATATTTTTCATTCAGAGGGCTGACTGTACTTTTGAAATCTTTGTATAAGCTCCCACATTGATCATTGCAACATGTACTTGACAATGTAGGTTGCAGTTTTGTGCATGAATTTCTGCATATACTAAATCAGTTTTTGTTTTCAAATCAGTTACAGGTGTTATGACTTTATTTTTTAACTTTTACAAAAACTTTATTGAGAATTTCATACATGTATATAAGGTGTTTTGATCAGATCCATGCCCACTCCCTCCCCTTCAACTCCTCCCATATCTCCCCATCACTTGTTTCTTATTCTTTTCTTTTTTTTCTTCTTGCATTTATTTATTTTTATAGGGCTTTTGGCTACTCTAACATTCCCTCCTCTGAAGAGGTAACCCTAAAATCTTTTAAGGATTAGATATGAGCTCCCAAATACTTTTGGCATTTTTGGCCTTTGGAGCAGCGTATGTTGCTAACAGTCCCAAGGGCATTTTGACATTTAGCCCAAGAACTGGCCACATTTCTTTGGGTTTTTTCACCCTAACTGCCTAGCCAATTCCTACCTCCTATTCTTATCACGCCATCCTCTGAAGGGGTTACCCAAATTGCCAATAGGGAATAGGGAATTGGAGGACCCCTTCTGTGGGTCTAGCTAAAAGACTCCCAAATTGCATAACTCTTATCTCTAAGGGGAAAAGAAAGTCTTTGAATTGTAAATAGGAGATGTGAAGGAGAAGCAAAGGCAAGAGTAATTAGCATTACAAGACAGGGAATTAAAAAAAAGTCAGAGCAGGGTAATTTTCAAATGTTCATATGAGTCCATTGGTGTTTCATGACAAGGGCTTCCAAAAGCATCCCTCTATTGGGTTCTTCCTCGTTTTTCTTTTGTCTTCCAAGGCTGGACTAGTTGGCTGGGAAGAGTGGCTGGATACTCAGGTGAGGGTCCAGTGACCCTGCTTGGCACTCCTTCAATGAATGAGCACAACCATCAACAAGCCCAACTGTGACTATGTTTAGAGATCAGGCTTAGGTGAAGTCATGATGATGGTAGTTATTTCACGCAGAAAGGATTGCTGTATAGCATTATCTTATTAAAAGGACCTGGAATTCAAAAGGATTTGGTACTAGGAGCCACATATGAGGGAGAACATATGTCGTTTGTTTTCCGAGTCTGTGTTACTTCACGTAATATAACAGTTTCTAGATCCATCCATTTACCTGCAAATTTCATTATTTCATCTTTCTTTGCTGCTAAATAGAATTCCATTATGTAAATATACCACATTTTTGTTAATGACTCGTTAGTTGAGGGACACTTAGGTTGCTTCCGTCACTTAGCTATTGTGAAAAGAGCAGCAACAAACATAGTTGTACAAGTGTCTCTACAATAGGATGAGTCCTTTGGGTATATGCCAAGGAGTGGTATAACCAGGTCATATGGTAGGTTCATTTTTAGTTTTTTTAAGAGTTCTCTGCACTGTTTTCCATAGAGAGTGAAGCATGAGTTTGAAATCCCACCAGCAGTGAATGAGCATTCCCCTTTCCCCACAACCCCTCCAACATTTGGTATCATTTGTTTTCTTGATCTTAGCCAGTCTGACTGGGGTAAGGTGAAATCTTAAAGTGGTTTTAATTTGCATTTCCCTAATTATTAGTCATGTTGAACATCTTTTAAGATGGTCTTAGCCATGTTTTCTTCTTCTTTTGAGAATTCTCTGTTCAGCTGCTTAGTCCATCTTTTAATTGGGTAACTTCCTGTCTTGATTCTCTGTTTTTTGAGTTCATTATATATTCTGGATATATATTCTGAATGTGTTAATAATTTCTACTATTCTTTGTTTTTTGAGTTCTTTATTCTGGATGTTAAACCACCGTCAGATGTGTCACTGGTGAAGATTTTTTCCCATTCTGTGGGTTTTCTCTTCACTTTTTTTTTGATTGTTTCTTTTGCTGTACAGAAGCTTTTTAGTTTAATGACATCCAACTTGTTGATTGCTGATCTTAACTCCTGAGCAACTTCTGTCTGATTTAGAAAATCCTTTCCTACACCTGTATCTTGTAAGTTACTGCCAATATTTTCTTCTTAATAGTTTCAGGGTTTCCAGTTTCACACTGAAGTCTTTGATCCATTTGGAGTTGACTTTTGTTCAAGGTGAAAGATAAGGGTCTAGTTATCTGGTTTTGCAGGCACTATTTGTTGAAGATGCTATCTTTCCTCCATTGTGTGTTCTTGGATACTTTGTCAAATATCTGTGTTCTTGGCACCTTTGTCAAATATCAGGTGGCTGAAGTTGCATGTACTCAGGTTTGGCTCTTCAATGATGGGCCATTGATCTATGTGTCTGTTTTTTCACCAGTACCGTGCTGTTTTTATGACTATAGCTCTGTAGTATACTTTCAGATCTGGTATAGTAATCCCCCCAGCGTTGTTCTTTGTGATTAAGGTTACTTTGGCTATCTGGGGAC